TAGAAACTGTATTGTATATTCTACAAACATATAAAAGAGTTTTTATTATAAAAGAAATATTGTTTTACAAGATTGTGAAATAAGCGATAGCGATTTTTTGTTTAAAATGTTACGTAAATATGTTTATATTGCAATACTATTTATTTCAAAAGATCCAATACATTTCAGTTCGAATAGCACTTAGATACACAAGTCAATGCCGAAAATGTTAAGAAAAACAATAAAATTTGCATGAGAGCGACATGAAATGATGCTATTATGCAGATTCAACCTCTCTGTTTGCTGACCAATATGACAGAATGCATTTCTGACTGCAACCTTATAAATATTGAGCATGTTATTGCCAATTTATATAATTTAATATACATACATTATTATTTATACTCGGAATTTTAATTCGATTCCAGATTTGACAATTTCAGTGTTGCAACGTTATGACAAGTACTAAATAGTGACGTTGCGAAATTATTCGATATGGAAATGCAATATTTCTGGATCGATTCTTCTCGTTTATAATTTTACTCTCGTAAACTAAGTATATCAGGAAATTAAATATTTCTGAACCGATAATTTAGTTTTGACGATTAATAAACGATCTGAGACTTTTCTTTTATAATTGTGTGTGAAATAAATAAAAAAATGTCATCATGAAGGAACATGACAAATAAAACAGATAGATGTATTATGGTAATAAGTTATTTTATAAATTGTCGCCGTCATCGCTATCGCTATCCTGTCACTTTCTGTAACATTTATTATAAAACACACACACTGATTGTTTATCGATTTTTGTGTTCATCACTACACTATTATATGTGGTATCATTATTTCACAAAATGACAGTAGATATTGTCAAATCTTGAATCTAATTAGAATTCTGACTATAAGCAATATTGAAACTTAACATCTGACATTAATGTTAGAAGCTGAAATATAAGACCGATTTATCATGAAAACGTTTGTTATTTAAATGTCCATTATATTGTGCAATACTTATAAAAAAGAATGACGCAGTTATAATGTCAAACCTTGCATAAAACATTATTTCCGCAGCATTTAGCGTTGATTCCGTTATTTGCTTTGAAAGCATCAAAGATGGCGGCGCATTGTGACAGTACACCCATAACCCGTTCATTTGAATACAACCATGGAAAGTCACAGTTTCATGGCGCACTCATACGTGTAATTGTTGACTTTCCATAATAAGTGGGCAATTTGTGGCTACCGATTTTACGCAGTGATGTCGATGCCCCGAGATGTATCACTGTGATTCCACAATTACATCCTATCTGTTGTTATTAAATTGTTACATTTCAATGATTCTGTATAAATAATCTGTATTGCCGTTTGCACTGTTCTACTGTCATTTGTTCTATATTCTTTGTACATATTTCATTTTGTTCAATGCACAGTCTCATGTAATGATACGACGTGTTGGCACTATCACGTGTAATGGTGATCTCAAATAGTATATAAATACAGTCGGAAAAAAATAATAGTGTTGGGTGATTTATTAAAAATAAAGTTTCGCCAATCACTTTAACTATGAACAGCAATACCAACTAATCTTTTTATTAAGCAGATAAAAGGCTTATAGCAATTTGTTACAAGACAAAATAATGAATCAGTTTCTAGTGGCAGTATCGTCATTTTTACGTTTTACCGTAGGCGAAATGCGGCCAGTAGGCGGATGCGATTTGCTAACAAGACTCCCACTGACTGACGCAGAACGACGATCATGTATATGTTCCCGTAGGTCTTTTTGACATTTACAGTAGATCAGAATTTACGTCAAGTAAAATGTAAAAATTAATACCTACTCAACTAAAAGATATTGAAACATTTCAATAAAAAAATAAACGAAACAACCAACATCAATGGTGCCTACAGCTAATATCTACAATATTTTCTACACACCAGGGATTCTACTATAAATATATAGATCAATTTAAAAAAAACAACAAAATATGATAATACTGACGTAACGGCAATTATAAAGCAAATTATGCAGGCGAATAACAAACACCTATGCAAATATATTTTGCATAGGCGTTTGTTATATATATATTTATTATATAACAAATATATATTTTGCATTTAATTTCTGTTAACGTAATTGTAATTATTTATCAGAACTATTAAACTTCGCACATCAAAATGGAAGGATACAATATGTGTTTGCTACTAAAACTATTTTAGCATAATTTATTGCTATCACGTGGCGCCGGTTTAGGAAAGACGTAAGCTGTTCAACGGCTAAAATAATATTCGTAATGAGCTTATTGACGACTAAAATAAGATGAGAAAATGTCTTAACACTTACAATACACGGTATATAACTATACATACTCATCTACACTCAATATATACACTCATCCATACATACTTTGTAACATAGTATAAGTAAATATATATATAACGAATTTTACATATCGGTTAACCTATAATTTGATTATCGTCGAAAATATCTCTATCACTACGTAGTATAAAACAAAGTCGCTATCCGCCGTCTGTGTGTACCTATGTATGCTTAGATCATTAAAACTACGCAGCGGATTTTGATGCGGTTTTTTTAATACATACATAAGGCAGGTTTAGGTATATGTTTACATGCATATTGCACCCTTGCGAAGCCAGGGCGGGTCGCTAGTTAATAATAATTTAAGAAATAAATAAGATGCATTATAACTAAAAACAACTTCTACTCACGTAAATACACAGAGAAAAGCTCTACTGGTTTCGAGTCACAGAGGGACTCTTCTGCGAGCGCAGCGACGTCGCGCGACATCGACGGCGCTTAATTCTGTAGGTACATCTCACGATAGTTATTATAAAAAAAAATTATACAAGAAAAAGTAGTTAACTACCAAAACCACTGAGTTCACCTCAGTATTGTATGCACGAAGTATTAAAAAAAAGGTAAATTACTTATATAGATTTCTTATGACTTTAAACAATTCTGGTCACTAGAATACACTGTTATAGTTACCATTGTAGCTCGTTCTTTGTGAAGAAGCGTGTGCGCTTCGCTACTTGTATTAGAGGGCTGAGCACGCGCCGGTAATCGCAATGTTTACACATGCGTACAGAACAAATGTTTCAGAGAGTATTGTGTAAACGTAGTACAAATAGGTCCAAATAAACATTGTATATAGTACGTATCAGTGACATACTTATCTCGAAGATTTTGTTAATATTTTGGCAAAAAACCATATTTTTTAAACGTGACGATGGAGTTTGTTGCTCGTTCTTCTCCATTCGAAACTATGCTTTGGAACGATTGCCTAGCTTTATTTTGACATTTTGAAATCAAGAAATACTTTGACTTTGAAAAAGAGATCAATTTGAACTGAAAATTTGTAAGGGGTAAATATTTTATTATTTCTTTATGCACAGGTTTCATACATGAATTGTTTTTCCTAGTGTAGCAGAAACAACGATCATAAAAGTAGTGAAGTTAGACCAATACTAAGACAGTATAAATATGTACACAGGTACCTAAATAAGCCGTAGGTATAAAAACCTATAAGTGATGCAGGTATATATATTTTATATTTATACAAGCGACCTGCCCCGGCTTCGCACGGGTGCAATATGCATGTATTACACACATAAACCTTCCTTAAGAATCACTCAATCTGTTAAAAAAACCGCATCAAAATCCGTTGTGTAGTTTTAAAGATCTAAGCATACATAGGAACAGACAGACGGCGAATAGCGACTTTATTTTATACTATGTAGTGATAGTGATACAATAAAAAAATACACTTTTACCCAAAAACAGCATCAATATAAGTAGGTACCTATGTACATACTTATTGACCTCTACATCACAGATGACAAAGCGAATGAATGTGACAGTTACCAAAGAGGTCGCTAGTTCGCTACCTCTCCCTAGTGTAACAATCATGGCGGTCTCTCACGGCACGACCCTAACTGTATCACTTACGATCAATTTATTGCTATCGACTATATTCTAGTCTGGAGACTCAGACATGACATAGGACACGCAAATCAAGCTACTCTAATGTCTTTGTCCATTTTTTACTTTATCGTTTTACATTAGAGTTGAAAATCAATTGTAGATTTTGGTTAGCTTGACGTGCTTGCTTACAATTAGAACCTTTTAAAATTAATTGAGAAGTGCACGTAAAATACTACCCTAATAAGACACTATAAATTAAATTCTCATTGTACGGCAATATTATTTTGATACGAGCAAAAATCGTTCGTTTATTTACTGAGATATAGTACACATTACAGTACGTACGTAACATTTTAGCACGCTAAGCATTGAAAAATGCCATCCCTATCATATTTACAGGTATTAGTCGCCCGCATCAATTGAATAGAAATTGTACTATATGTATGAATCCAGGGCATATTTGTAAAATCGTGTGTGCAGTTTGTAATCAGAGGATGGTGAGAAATGTCTCAATATAAGTAGTTAAATGTATTATAAACTACATCGAGGAACATATTACAAAGATGACTAACTATTCTCTACTGTATAGATCTTACCTATTCACAATCTTGAATTGATTTTTATCTTCAGGGACTATAAAATCTTTTGTTTACGCAGATCCTTGTATTATTTTACTATGTTATATTCCATCAAAATCTCTTCAGTAATTTTAACGATTGAGTAACAAGTAACATACAAACTTTCACAATTATAATGTTAGTAGGATACATTAATCAATACATAGTATAAAACAAAGTCGCTTTCGCTGTATGTCCGTATGTATGCTTAGATCTTTAAAACTACGCAACGGATTTTGATGCGGTTTTTTTTCATAGATAGAGTGATTCTTAAGGAAGGTTTGTATGTATATACATATTGCACCCGTGCGAAGCCGGGGCGGGTCGCTAGTATCTAATAAATAGATAATGCAAACAAATCGACCTTTCACTTTAATTGTAAAACACTTCATTCTTTAATTCTAAGAAGTCGACACGGGTAACGAAAATCCTTACTAAGAAAGATTCAGTTTACTCACCTACAGCAGAAATGTAAAGCTGAGCTCAAATTCCTGGAAACAAAGAAAAAATATATTAATAAACAAGTCGGGTATTGCAAATTGAACTTTATGACATAGAATATTAGAAGGTTAATCTAAAGAAAAGAGTTCACAACGACTACTGTTTAGTTATATTATAAAATGCTGATAGATCAAAATATGAACATCAAAAAAACTCCTTTCTTTCAGTTATTTTAGAACATGGAAATATTACATCTTCAGCTAAATGTTTGTTCGTATGCATGGTAATATTATTATTGCAAGTGTTGCTTTCCACAACCATTTAATTTTTTTTTAAATGTCGATTACTCTGTCTATGTAGCAGATCTTTGGCATAAAAATGTAACAATACCTACTAATCTACTTATTCAAGAAGTCAAATTACAGTCCTGAGTCCACTGTTAAATTATCACTGGGACAGTCAATGAATAACAATTTAGTCAATAAATCTCATATTTCACAATGCTGTACTTTCGACTATACTCACATTCTTTAACAAATAATATCAATTACAATGGTTGAACAGTTGGTAAGTGTGTTTGTAACCTATTTATTAAACCTATGTATCTCTTCAAAGTACTTCATTAAATTTTACTATCGACATTTACCATAAAATCGTTACAAACTTATCTATGTAAGTGGAAAAACATGGAACAACGGAAAACGCTCAAGAAAATCTTTTAGGAGAAAGACACTAGCGCCATTGTCAACTGCATGTGTAAGTTGGTACTAGTGTTGTTACACCTGTTGATATTTAACGCAGTAAACACGCCATAAATTAGAGAAAACAATGCACATGTCACCTATATCTTACTTACGTAGGTATATTTTAATGGCAACAGGTGAGTTCTGTCTTATAAATGTGTTTGTGTAGGCAACCTTAAGCCCTACTGAACAAATGTAAGTATATAACTTATAACAACATGTCGATATAATAACAAGCAAGAAACTAGATATATTTGTGATTATTTTTCTATTATTTAAGACTATTCTTAGTTGAAATGAAGTGCTATAAATGTTTTATTGTGCATGTATGTACACTTGTATATAAAATATTGGGTGTAAACACACCCAGGATAAGGATGTTAATACTAGTGGGAACATTAAAAAAATATATAATTTAATAGATACTTATTATAGTCGGAGGCCCAATTACCCTAATTCCCGCATTCCCAACAATCCTCAAATTCCTATTCCTCAAAGTATCGGTAACGCACTTGTAACACCTCTGGTGTTTTGAGTGTCCAAGTACAGCGCCTATTGCTTACCATCAAGTGATACGTCTGCTCGTTTACCGTCTTATAGTCTCAATGTAAAAAGTTCATGTTCACCAATAGGGTAGTTTTCTATTTTTTGTTTTAATATCCGTCTGGGAGATTATTTTAAAATATTAGACACGTATTTTTTCTTTTCTCACAAAATTAAATGCTTTTGACGATATATTGATTTGAAATATCGCGTGACGTCACAACGTGCTACAAAATGTACTACGCTATGACGTAACTACCTCCCACTCCTAAACTTAACGCCATTTTATTTAAGTATTGTAACTTTATACGAGAAAATAAAAAAATACGTGTCTAATATTTTTTCATTATCTAACTAACGGACTAATTGGATTTTGAATTTTCTTACCCTGGAAACTACCCTATTAACCTGCCATAAGCGTACACGCATAATAACACGCAACTAGCACTAACTGAAGTAAAATTCAATACATGCTATTACGTCCTCCTTCCCTCGGTCGTTGAGTGCAATTTATGTTGAGTGCACAGACGATATAGAGGCTTGAAAACTTTTATATACATAGTAAATGAATTGTTTTAAGTAAAATGTAAACTTGAATCAGGTTGCAGGTAGCTGCATGACGCAGGTCGCTTCCAACCAGCCTGTCTCGATATTATTGGGGGAGGCCTATGTTCAGCAGCGGACGTCTGACAACTGATATAATGATGATGATAATGAATATTAACGTCTCGCACGCCTCTCGTACAGAAGGCTAAACGCGCGTTTTCGTACACACGAGTATATATTTTAATAGAAAAGCGAATTAAATCATTACTTAGTATATTAACTAAACGTGAAAATATACGTCACATAAAAAATATCCAATCGGTGCGCGTTTCTTGTACACCCGTGTGTACAATTGCGCGATGGGCACTCAACTCTCTCGTACACCCGTGTTTACGAGAAACACGCGAACAGTAGCTACAAATATTTTCAGGCTGTCTCGTGGTAAATAGTTATCATAGTCCGTGTACATTAATAACACAATAACACTAGATGCTTTACCTACAAGAATTGTGTATTCATGCATAATTTTTGATCGAACTTGATGAACTCGAGAGCTCTACACTTCAAAGATTTCCAGGGTAGCTAAATAAAATGCACACTTGACATGTACACTATAAAATTACTAGATACACCCAGACTTTATTTGTCATTGCGACAGTATGTAATTGAGTGATGTTCAATGTTAGGAACGTGGTCGCAAGCGCAGTCATTCAGTGGAGTATAATAATTGGGTATATTAAGGTCGTAGGCACTATCTGTTGTAATATAGGCTTACCCCTTATTACATGGGACTAATAAAATACAACAAGCGTTAGTGAGTTACCATATCCGTTTATCACTTTAGGAACAAAGAAATAACAATAATTTTTAGATAGACTTAAAGGTAGTTATTCATGTCAATCAGACGCACTGGACTGCAGTGTTTTCATGGTGGTATCTACTGTAGATCCTGGCTTACAGGAGTTGCACCGGTTTTGGGAGGATGCGGCGGCCTTGTCCCATTAAAAAAAAGAAATATAAAAACATGTATCTGCTTAATTAGACAACTGATGTCTTTTTATATCTACTTTATTCAAGGCTAAACTAAAGCAGAAAGACGAACAAAATATAATACAGAAAATTTTAAAAGAGGCATTAAAATGAAACGTTTAATAGTTTCGGCAAATATTGAAGTCGGGCGCTAAAAGTCGGTTCATACATTTCAGTTGAATGTCAATAAGTCGGGCCATCAACCGCCATTAAGGAGAGGCTCGGCAACGGAATCGGTCATTAGAGGAAAAACATTTCAAAATCAAACAGCAACTTGTTCCACTGACAGTGCTGGAAACTTCCTAATTGCTACACTCCTTTGAGATACTTAAGTGCTTCGTAAAATAGAATATGAAAGAAAACGTAAACGCTCCCGCAAGTACACCGCCATTTTGATTCCATTTGACGTTTAATTAGTCAGTTATTGAGAAAATGAATGCAGCATTTTGTTTACCCTATCTGCGGACATGATCTCTTTATTACGCTATCTAAAGCGTAATATTAATTAATACTTAATTGCTGCAGTATGATTACACATTAATTAATATTATTATACGTAATTAATTACCTACAAAGTGAACTCGAATAAGGTATTTCAAACATGTGACCGCATAAAGTGCTCTAAGGCCGGAAAATTAAAACATACCTTGCTCAAAAACGCACGCATATTGTCCTTGCAATATGCCAATGTCAAGGGAAAGTATAAAAGATTTTAATTACTTCAGAACATATTTTCTATACATGCCAGTGATAACATCAGCAGTAAAAAATATAAACACTCATAATCATCTTATTTATTTATTTTTTTATTTAACTTTATGCAACAAAAGTACATAGGCGGGCTTAATGCCATGGGCATTCTTACTAGCCAACCTTTAGGTGATGCAGTGAGAGCGTGGTCGGTGCAATAAGTTGACAACTATATCTAATATAATTTTTAAAATGACAGTATACATACAACGGTCTATGGTAAATATAAATATTTTATTAATAAAGATCAATATATATATATATATATATAAATAAATAAGTATATATGTATATATATATTTACATCCTAGAATCTTTTTGGCGTCACACACGTCGCGCAACATTATGACGTCCCCCAGTTCCCGTAAATTTTTTTAATATGTCTTGATGAATATTGCTTAGTTATTCGATTTCCAGCTTAGTAGGATACGTCATTTTCCGATAATTTTATTTTTCGCGATATTCTTCTTGCAGTCATGCTGCAACATTTTTGAACCCCAAACAATGGTGATAACAAATTGGAGTCCTAGATATATTGATCGTGATTTAACCATGGTATCAGCTACTTAACGTCCCCACAGCGTGGATGGTATTTGCGAGTGCAACGTTGCCAGCTTTGGGTTCACTTGTCTCTTTCTTTTACTCTCTCTTGTCACTCGTCTGGTAGTACAGAGTTTCAACATTATTCCAATATTCGTTAAATCTATCAATACATATTTACTAATGCCCGATAATGATAAAATAATGTTATCTACTAGTAGGTGCCTACTTTATAATTATTATACTACCTATCAATATTGATGGAATGAGCAAGATGAATTAATTGAATTTAATTGGTAGGTACATCAGACAGTGTAA